TACCATCCGAATGTCGCAGCAGAAATCGAGACTCATCAGACCAGGCAACGTTTTTCCAATCTTCTCTTGTCCAATTTCGATGAGCTTGTGCAAATTGTAGCCTCAGTTTCCTGTTCTTAGCTGAAAGGAGTGGCACCCGGTGTGGTCTTCTGCTGCTGAAGACCATCTGCCTCAATGTTTGACGTACTGTGCGTTCAGAGATGCTCTTCTGCCTACCTCGGTTGTAACGGGTGGTTATTTGAGTCACTGTTGCCTTTCTATCAGCTCGAACCAGTCTGCCCATTCTCCTCTGACCTCTGGCATCAACAAGGCATTTCCGCCCACAGGACTGCCGCTCACTGGATGTTTTTCCTTTTTCGGACCATTCTCTGTAAACCCTAGAGATGGTTGTGGGTGAAAATCCCAGTAGATAAGCAGTTTCTGAAATACTCAGACCAGCCCTTCTGGCACCAACAACCATGCCACGTTCAAAGGCACTCAAATCACCTTTCTTCCCCATACTGATGCTCGGTTTGAACTGCAGGAGATTGTCTTGACCATGTCTACATGTCTAAATGCACTGAGTTGCCGCCATGTGATTGGCTGATTAGAAATTAAGTGTTAACGAGCAGTTGGACAGGTGTACCTAATAAAGTGGCCGGTGAGTGTATATGATAATACATCAGCTGTTTAAATGGTTGACCCATTTCGTAGTGGAGTATTTTGTCTTCTGTGCCTTGTAACTTTGATTTCTTTCTTTTTTATTTTAAGATTTATTCATTTCATTAAAAACTAAATTAATTCTATAAAGAATAGAAGAAGAAAAAAACAATTTCAGAACCAACGTGTAGATTTAACTCTATAGTTGGTGCATATTTTGTGTTCGTCTCAGCAGGAAAGATTCTTACAGTCCTGCAATTGTACATGACTGAACAGATAGTGTCCCTAATCACTTTATGGTCAAATAACTGAAAAGAGAGCAAGATGAAGAGGGGAAAGTGCTGATAAAAAAGGGAGTAAGAGCAGAGATGCTTTATAAAAATCTTTGGTCAGAATTTAGTTTGTTCGTCAGGGTGGTCCAGTGAACACCCCAACTCTCTGGAATCCCTGGCATGCAGTAGGCTGGCCTGGTTTCCTCTATTTGAGATCAACTCAAGGCAGAACCTAAGAGATAAGAGTCGTTTGTCCCATAGATCAACCAGACACCTGGCTGAAATCCAACAGATCAACACACAGCTTGGCCCTTTAGGAACAGGTTTCCAGTACAAAATAAAACTGACAACTCAACTTTCAAGAACAGGTTTTATGTTTATATAAGTTTGTTTATTTATTTATTTATTTACTTACTTACTTACTTACTTACTTACTGACTTACTGACTTACTGACTTACTGACTTACTTACTTACTTACTTACTTACTTACTGACTTACTGACTTACTGACTTACTGACTTACTGACTTACTTACTTATGTTTTTGCTTCCCATGCTCATTTCTTTGTATATTTAGGTTGCAAAGACAGATACTGCTCATTTGTTCAGGTACAATCCTGAAATGTTACCCGATATACAGTATGACTTGCAAACCTTTTTATCATCAAGTAGATGATAAACATTTTACCTGTAAGCTGGAAAATATCAATGATCACAGAAAAGGACTACACACCGGTGGGTCAAAGTCGTAACATTGTGTACAAATACTCCCTCTTTGGACTTTAACCTGATAATGCAGTCGTATAATAAAACATAAGTTGTTCACTCGGGTTAGGTCAGAGCAACTAAAACCATGTCAACCAAAGTGACAACAGCTCACAGAACAGAAAGTTGTGTTTCATCAAAGGTTTATTTTAAAAGCTGAATTTTCTATTTTCAACTAGGAAGGTGTGACAAAAGGATTAAATTCCTGAGATAAAAAGAGAAGCCAAAACTAAAGGAAAGTTATACCTTCAAACATGTTGCACAGCATTTTAGATTTATCTCTATAAGAATGCTGTTTAAATAAATTTAAATGATAAAATCTGGGTTTACACCGAATTCCATTTTCTTTTTTGGTGCATTAAGTTAAGTTATTATGGGCTGGATATGGGCACCAGTGACCTTAACAAACAAGTTAAAAAATAGTCAAGCAAACATATGATCACATCAGTAACTACCTCTATATCATAATCATATTTCTTAGGATAACAATAATAATCCAGAGAATCTGGTACTAACTCACAAATTTATTGCTAACAGCGTGCTAAAGTGCACTTTGAAACAGAACTATCAAATCTATATCCAATTACTTTGCATCATTTTGATGATCTCGGTATATATGATTTCATGCTGTATTGCAAGTTTTCTCAAGATGTGGTATTGCTCGGCATATATATTCAAGATGACTCTCAGCTACCATAAAACTTTAGCTCCTGAGTCATATTTTGTGTTAAAGTTGGCCATCATGAATTAGATGCACAAAAAATAATTTCAAGCACAATGTGTAACTCTCGAAGTATGGAATGGTAATGATGCTCATCTACTACCACACCAAATTGTACCCCCATATCTGTAAAACTGTCCAAGTTGAAGACGTTTTTGTGTTTCTCCACTCTCAGTTGGCTGTGACAGCCATTTTGAAGTAGGCTGACTCTAAAAGATTATCAGTTGTAAATGTTTACTCAATGATTACTTTCTTAGAGTTTCATTAAAATCCACCCAGCAGTTCATAGATATTTTGCTAATGACAAACAAAAACAAACACACAGGCAACGACTTGGTGGCAGGCAATAAACAGATCTACAAACGAAAAAGGTACACTGATGTGGTGAAACTTTCTACGTATGAACCCAACAGTAGACATATTTTTTTCCTCTAAAAGATTATATTGTTTTCTCCAAAAACCAAGTTGAGGGGACAAGTAATAAATTATCTGACTTTGAAGAGGTCAGGGGCTTAACAAACATCAAAATCATGCAAGTTTATCTTCTCTATGAGAACACAAAACCTGAACTCAGGTGGATTCTGTTTCTTGAGTCCTTTGTGCAAGGAACACACCTGTAGGCCCCACAACACTGATAGTGTTTCCACACAGACTTCTGAGGTGACATGGCCTCGTGTAATATGACCCACAGCGGTTTGTGCAGAAAAGGACACAGATCTGATTAGTCTGGACAGCCTCTCATCTGGTCTGAGACGGCTTGGACCGGTTGTGCTAGGGGAGCCCCTCAGATTGCCTGGCACAAAGGAGGTCTTTGAGCCACTGAGATAATCGAAGAATACCCCCCCCCCCCTCCTCTAATTAGAGATGAAGAATCTGCTGACTCATGCAAGACGCTGATGACAGATGGGCCAGGATATCCTGTCTGTCAGTACTGAAAGCACCGCAGCTTTCTTTACAAGGACAAAGTGTTTCAGTAGAAGTTAGGAACATATAAAAAACTAAACTAAAATATTTTACAGGTAAAACTCAGTCAACATTTATTGAAATAACGCATCTTGCCAGCTACTGTACCTCTCATTTCAGACTTTTAAACATCATCTTAATAATGGAAATTTAGCCAACTTGGTCAAACCTTAGAAATCTTTCATTCCAACCAATTACAGCACTCAACAGCAGATGTTTTTCCAAACTCCAACAACGAAATGTGTAATATAGGTTACCTTTTTGTGTATTTAGGTATTAAGGTGTTTCAAAGGTTTATTAGAACTCAGATTATGTGTCAGGTATGCCTTTCAGCTCAGTATTTGTTAAATTGACTGAGCCAGTTTTGTGTTAATAAAGGTTGTTTAGTTGTGGTGGCCTTTTTCAAGTGACTTCACTTCAAAAGATTATGTGTAGATTTATCCAAAGATTACTTTCTGAGAGTTTCATAAAAATCTATTGAGTTGTTTATAATATATTTTTTACAAACACACCAGTCATACAGACAGTTTTACCCATTTTTTCAGTAGGTGATCACAAATACCCATTCTGCCCTCACACATAGGTGCTTATAGCTCTGATGCCAGGTGAGACATCAGTGTGCCGAGGTCAACGTTGACTTCTGGACATGCAGTCCAAAGGCAGAGGTGCTACATCGATGTTAACCAACAGTTATATAACAGTAGTTAATGATTTCCCCAAAGAGGAGGCACTGCCAGCTTTATCACATATAGAGCAGTGAGTGTACCTGTAAGCCAGAAACTGAGTTTGAGCTGTTTGTGTGGGAAGATACACCCGAAGTGCAACACCAAAAGGAGTCTGCTTTAAAAGAATTTCAACTTATTTCACCATTCACCCAGGCTGAAAATGACACATTCAGCCAGGACTGGGATGCACAATGCACTTGAAAAATAAAAAAAAGAAGAAGAAGGAAAGAAATGAAGCTTGAGTTTGAATGTGAGCCTATCCTCTCCCTCTGGCTGACTCGCAGACAGATGCAGATGCAGCAGGCTGGAAGCGATGGGTCAAGCTTGCCTAATACACGGGCGGCATTTGCACAAATAACAACTGCTGCCCATCAGGGGTGTCTGAACTCTCATGGGCAGCAGATGATTTCAGATTACATAAAGGCAACATGGAGAGAAAAGTGTGGCTGAAAAGACTCTATAAATGTTGATTATTCTCATCTTAAATCTAAGAAAAGTTTGTATGGGATGCATAAATTCACAAACAACAAAACAGATGCTTTTTTTTTTTTTTGTAGAATCAGAAACAAGCTGCACAAACACTACAGAAGGATTCATAATAATGTGACAGCAGAGCCATCAAAACAAAACAGAGTTCCAGAAATGCAGAGTTTAGTTTAACTCACATCACTGTGGTGCAGTCGCACTTAAGGATTGCTTTAATGCAAGTAGCCTAACCTGTGACCCTGCAACTGTTACAAAGAAGCTAAATAAGCAAAGTTGGCCTAATGAGGACAGGATGACTGCCAGAATCGCTTCATGTCAAAGTCTGTTGGTTCCAGGCTGCTGTGGAGGTAAGATGAGGATGGAGCAGTGCATCATCACTTTGATGATGAAAAAAAAAAAGACTTTTTCCTGTCTGAGAGGCTGAACTTACCTTGACGGACAGTTTTGAACCTGACGGGACCTGTGCTGCAGTTGATCACAGTGTAGATGTCATAAAGAGGTAATCCAGACACAGACACCCCCTCCACCTCCAGCACCAGCTCCCCCTCACATAGTTCCCCGTCCTGGTGGCGCACAGCATCCTCCCTGATGGCTCCGACGTAGGCGAACTCCCCGTCCTGCGCCCCGCCGCGCAGCTCCACGCTCAGCTCCCCGCTGGGGTCCCGAACCACGTTGCACTCCTTCACCTTAGTGATCCAGTGGTTCTTCTTCTGAAGGACTTTCGACATGGTGCTGGGTATGCTTTCGGTGCGAGACTGAGCCGCTTCATAGCACTGACCGGCTGACGGGACGCTCGGCTCCAACTTCTTGGAACATCTCCTCAGATGGCCAGGCGGCTCCTGCGCGCATCCCCGGTTTGGATCAGAGTCCAGACTTCTGGTTCTGCTCGTCTCCTTTTTGCTGTTGTTGTTTCCGCATCCTTAACAACAGCTCGCGCTCTGATTCCTCCTAATTGGATCTAATCCACTTCCCCGGAGACTCCCTTTCTGCATTAATCTGAAGAGTTCCGCCTCTGTTTTATTATTAGACCTGTTTATTTGTTTATTTATTTATTTTTTTTTTACTTTCCGTCAACTAAAAAAAGAAAGAAACTACAAACTACCTGGGAGCTTCGGCGCCTTTAAGCAGGTACAGTTTGCTCCTCCACTGAGGATGAAGAAAACAGGAGACACGGAAGCGCATGCGTCACGATGTGATCACTCCACGAGGGAAAAATCCAATCCCAACCCCAAACCTGCCGGCTCCACGAAGCTCCTCCCAGCGTCCGTCCGGCGCGCCTTTCAGGAGGGATTACAGCGATCTGGGTGTCTAATCCCCTCCGGGACCTCCGCCTGTCTTTCTTCCCAAAAAAAATATGGAAACACGCAGCAGGGACCACTTCTGTCTGTGCAAACTGAGCTGCGAGTTTACATGAAGGTTGAAGGTGCTAACTTCAAAACCAGTTACTTCAGTGGTGTCCAAATATTTTGTCACATGGGCCAAAATCATAAAGCCAGCAGAAGGATTTGAGGGCCAAAAATATTTTCCCTTTACCTGCTCAACAAATGAACACTTTACAAATGTTCATTGCTGGAAATGGATGCTTAAATTAATCTAGATCCAGAACTTTCAAAGTGTTTTGTAGGTTTCCCTTATTGAAAGAAATTTTTGCAATTTTCTAGGTTTCAAATGGGAAAAAATAAACCAGTTTAGTTAATTCTGATCAATAAAATCAGGATTTCATAAAATCAGGATTTAGGTCACTCTTTCGCTGAAAATGCTTGCTGTATTCAGACATGTTTAATAAATTAATTAAAAGCAGATTGGAGTACAGCAAAATCAGCTTTTGAGCAGAAGTCCCTAAATAGATGTGGAAAAAGCTAAGAGTCTGTTTATTTAAAGACAAATAATTGGTATTGTTGCCAATATTTTTTATTATAAGATTTTACTTTTATTTTTGCCCTAATAAATAGGAAGTCTCCATCTACATCAGACACCTGTGCCGAGGGGACAAATTTGTAAAAAAAAAAAAATTGTATAATTCTCGAACTGAAGTCAGGGGCCACACAAAATCAGTTCAGGGGCCACAAATGGCCCCAGGGTCACACTTTGGACATCCCTGAGTTACTTCATATAGTAGTAATTCTGTAAATTGAGGTTCAGATAAAAAAAAGTTACAGTTTGAAGTCAATGCAAAACATTTTGCTGTCAGACTTAAGAACAAGCTAAAATATTTTTTAAAAAGTTGTTTTATTTGCAGTTTAAATAAAGAAACATAAACCAGAAGGTTATATATTTCTGATATTTTTTCTATTGTTGAGAATAGTGTGTGTTGGAAGCAAGATTGTGTTTCCTAATTTAGGTGGGTGCACTTTCTATTTTAATGTTTGTTTTCCAATTTTATTGTACTTTTTAAAGTTTTATTGTTACCCTTTCCAGTGGTGGGCAGCACCAAATATTAGTTGCACTAGCCCTAAAGCACTAATTCAAATATTTAGGTCCCCTGATTCTAAAGCACTAACGCACTGAAAATTTTAGCAAAAGCTAATTCTAAAGCACTACAATAATCCAGTTGAGACATGGAATATTATTCAGAGTCAACATTAGACAATATTTACTGTGTGCAGAATGTTGTCACTTTGAAGGAAATTTTGTAACTGATTAACTGAATATTAGATGCAGTTTTGTATTTTATACTTTCTGATCATTTCAGTCTTTAAGTTATAGCAGACTATAGCAGACTGAGAGTTGTTGTGTCTTATCATGAATTCTTTCTTTTAGCCTAAACAAAAATGAGTTTCGTTCTGACAGCTGTCATAAAAGGTAACACCTCCAGGGGTGTAACCAGGAAGTGTAGCAATTTGAGTTTTTTCACCAGCAGTTTCCTGAGTGGCTGAGGCATTAATCAGCGCAGCTGCAGCTGATCTTCTGATGAGCACCTGAGGGCTTTATAAGACGACACTGGTGAACTGATCCTCGCCGGAGCAACACATGCCTTATGGTATTTGTCCTGGCTGCTCTACTTTAAAAACCTTCCTGTTGAAACTAACTGTTTTTTATGTCTAGTRCTCCTGCCCGTGATCCCACCGTGTCGTCCAAAGGAAATAACACCTCAGCTCTGATCACCTGCCTGTCTGCCTCCAACGCCTCAGGAACTCACCTATTCACCTTGGATCAACTCAACCTGGAAATAAAAAGAAAACAACTCACCTCCATGGATTCTCACCTTCTCCTCTGTGCCGCTCCTCCCTCATCGACCTGTAAGAAAATAGATCCTTATCATTATTGCAAGATCTCTTCTCCCATCAAACAAATACTCACCGGCTGTCCTTCCTTTGCAGCTTCTCCAGTTCACACCCCGACCCGCACTGTAAATAAAATCACTTACCTTTTGTATCTGGTCTCCCGAGTCTGTTTCGCTCCAAACCTGTTCACTTTTGACTTCTCGCAAACCTGACAGGAAGAGATGTACGTTATAAGGTCAATTCATTATTATAGTGAAAAGAAGTTGTTAGTGTGCTGCAGAGTCTCTGCTCAGAGCAGGGCTCCTGTGTTTTTTGTTTTGTTTTAGGCCTGCTGGGTGCTGTACTGTGAACCTGATTGGAGTCAGAAGATTGAGAATAAAGTTTTTTAAGAAGAAATTACGTTGGATTAATGTTTATTCAGAGATACCATTTTGAACAACGCACATTTTTCCTATAACTTAGTGCCCTTGGCGGGCCAAATGGGAGTCACCCACAGGCCACATTTGGCCCACAGGCCTTGAGTTTGACCTTGTAGATAATTGACACACATATGAGCAAAATGTATGACAGCTTTCACCCTCAGCTGTAAACAATAATGTTGATCAATAACATTAGACCTCAGTTAGTGCTTCTAAATTTAGCCCATAAATTTAGCAAGTGCTAATCCACTAATAAATTTAAAAAAAGCACTAAAACACTAATCAGGAAATTAGTTCCCCTATTAGTGCTTTAGGGAAACTGTGCCCACCACTGCCTATTTCTTTGGCTGTATAATGGTCCAGAAAGGTGCTTTTTCATCCATCCATCCCTTAGCCTTACCCTCTTCTTCCTTTCAGGGTCACTGATGCCAATATTCAGCAGTCACTATGGGAGAGGCGGACAGGTCAGAAGTCCATCACAGGGAGACAAACAAAGCAAACATTAACTCTCTCACTCGCACCTAGATACAATTAACGCAACTTTCATATTTTGGGAGGGGACCAAAGGGCCCAGAGAAAACCCATGCATGGAGAGTGCATGATCAGTTTCTCAGTGAGCTGTGACTGTTGGCCACTCGGTAGTGATGCAAAAATGTGAGAAAAAAGTCCTAATTTCATGCATTAAATTCTGAGTACTGGCACCCGGGGGGAAAAAGCTCTTGAGACTAATTTGAGGCAAACAAAACGACCCAGTGAATATTTTTGAGAGAACGTTTGTCACACAAATATTTAGAAATTTCAGCCATTTAGAAAAATTCAAGAGACACTTCAAGTCACTTTGGAGACCAGTTGCAGGTCCATGAGAGACTATCTTCACTGAGAAAAACAGTCACTAGCTGATTGAAGCTCAAGTAACCCTTTTGATAAGCAGTTTAGGTAAAATAAATAAAAAATCATTCGTCATAAATAATAACATCTGGTTTGTGAGATTTTATAAAGGAAAAAACAGATTTACATCTGAGGAAATAGTTTTTGATTCCTTTATCATAAAAAAAAATCTAAATCTTGAATTTAACAGCAAGAAGGCTGCCAAACAGCTGCACCTTTCTGGGTAGAGTTTCCATGCTCACTCCGTGCATGTATGGGTTTTCTCTGAGCACTCTCCTCCCACAGACTAAAAACATGAATGTTAGGTTTAATGGTTACCCTAAATTGTCCTTAGGCGACCTCCATGACCCTGAAATGAAGAAGCGGGTAAAGATAATGGATGGATTTAAATCTTGAATTTGACTAAAAGTCAGTGTGCAACTTCACGAATATCTGTTAAACAGATTCACATGTTTTGTGCCATCTTCGCAGAAACTTCAAAAGCCAGGCAGGATCGATCAAACAGATCAAAGATGCATGTTGTTCCTTCACACAAAGTCAAACTCACACACATAAGGACAATCACAAGCTTATTGTCTCATCATCACAAGTTTTGCACAAAAACTCCATCTTTGAAATGGTTTATTAATTTAAAAAGATGTCTTTAATTTACAATGTACCATTAAAATTTGCGAATTTCTGACATTTTTTAGAAGTTTACATATCCAAAGCCTGTTTTTTTTTTTTTTTTTTTTTTTTTTTTTTTTTTTGTAAAGCAATATGCACAAACTAAATCATGTCCAACAACTGGGGCTCTTGTATTTTTGCAAGGATCAGGTGAGAAACAGATGCCACTGCAAATAAAAACAGACTCTTTGTGTTTCCTGCCTGTCCACATAAAGCACAGTAACTGGCACTCTTTCACTGTGAGGGCAGTGGCCCGGATAGCAGCGCATAAAATAAAGCTTTTCCATCTGATTTCATCTCAGTGTTCAGAGCAGAAAGCTTTCACTTTGTCTCCTGCTTGTCTTGTGGAAAGTATTTCTCTAAAACCAATATGAGCAGTGTTTTATTTTTCTGGTTTTTCATTAGGTAAATGTGTATTTTGTTTTTGTCTTTTTGTCAGCATAATGTCCCCTCATATTGTCTGCTTTGTGAAGTGGGCTCTGTTCTCCTGTCACTTGACATTTTCAGAGGAATTAAAGAGATGTCTGCAGGCCAGTGAACGACACATAAATATATGACACTGATGTGCTCTGACCGAAAGGATGCAGACTGTTTCTAAGATGTCCACTCGTAAACAAACCTAAAAAACCTGTTCATACATTATGGTTTTATTTATATAGGTGCAATGTACAGTATATTGCTGGGTAAATTCAGGGGTTTTCTGCCGCTCAGAGATTTTTATTTAATTAATTTAAACTTTTAATCAAATGTTAACATTTGTATACTATTTCAAAAAGAGATAAATTATTTTGTTTCACTGGTTATTGTCTTTATGAATAATCCATTTGTCATTATTGTTAGTTTACAGCATCACAAGGACTTGATTGCAGTTGGAGTTTTTGCATTTGTCAACAATGACTGTAATTTATATAAGTTACATTTAAACCGTAATGATTTATTGTAATGATTTATTGCTTTTATGATTTATAATGTAGAGTTTTCTCTTATATCTTATATCTCTTAAATCTCTTATAGCTAATAAAGCATCTGTTTATTCATCCATCCATGGACAACAGGTGTTTTTGGACAGTATGCATAAGGAAAACATGCAAAAACTCCATCAGTTTTAAATCTGCAACTCTTGCTACAAGACAAGTGCCACCATGAAATGAACAGAAAACTAAAAATGCTAAAGTAAATACTTCAGATATTTACCGATTACACTTTCTTTGATTGGAAGAAAATAAATGTTACATTTAAGTATAAATAAATTATGTTTTCTAACTATTCAAACTACAGTTTCATTGCTCTGTAGCATTAATTACACT